TTTTCTGTCACTGGGGAACCTTTGGAGAAGCCACTGTTCTGCATTTGAGAAAATTCCTCCAGCCATAATGACGTGCATACAAAATCCCATGTTAGAAGCCCCCACCCCCACCCTTCCTTTTCTGCCTGCAGACATCTGTGAGCCATGTTCTATTTCTAGCTCTGATGTCATGATTCGGGGCTGGCAAAACTAACAGCCTGGCATTATCTCCATGGAGCCAGCCAACTGAGTGGGCAGTCCTGTCCTCCCTGGAAGCCAGGGATGTGAGATTCACCTGCGTATAAATCACCCAGAGCTGCAGCCAACACTTTATAAGCAGAAGTCTTGCCACCCATGGGGTCTCCGACAATCATATAGCCATGTCTTACCAACATCATCTCGTAGATCTGGGAGAAGACATTGTATAAAAAGTTAATTATTGCAAACCTCCCCACAAGGCAAGTCAGTCAGAAGTCAATGAGGAATGAGGGGTCGAAGGGACTCTCACAGGGGACTATAGTTCACCAGAGGTAGAAATGACCTATTGTTTAAATTTCTTTTGGAGGAATGAATATATGCATCTGTCTCATATTGTCTAAGGGATGGGAACTACTACCTGCTTTGCACCTACCAATGTACTATCAAGCGATCATCCCAATTACTTCACATAATCTACTCAGGTATCATTAATTACCTTTTACAGATGGAAACACTGAGTCCAAGAGAGGTTAAGTAACTTGCCCACGCTCATCAGTGGAGAAGTCAGGATTTGAACACAGGGCTGACTAACGTCAATGCCTCTAATCTTTTCACTAAACCATTACCATTCACTTTTAAAAAGCAAATTGTGTTTCTATGGGAAACTTCCTTTCTCAAGGCCTAACTGCTGTTCTGACTTGACTGCAACTCTCAGTAGATAAAAATGTATTTTCTGAGCCAGGCTCCACGCTGTGAAATATAAATGACCTCCTGTGCTATTTTATCCTCTGCCCTTGAGAATCCACAGCTGTATGGAAGCCCATTTCTTGAATTTTCTGATTGTTCCTCTCTGTGACATTGGCCCAGGATAATGCAAATGCTTTGGTCATTTACATTTATGTAAAATTGTATGCTCTCTCTCTCTAGACTGAGTCCCTCAGAGAAGGGGAATACATGAAGCTTTTTATTTTGAAGATTAAGTTCTTATTATTTTTCACCCTGGAGGTGAGCAGTAATGAGGGTCTAAATGAAGGCAGTGACAATGGACAAATGTCATGCAGAAAATGTTTGTTAAGCATCTACTATGTGCAGAACAGGCTACTGTTCCATGTGTTGTCAACAGAGCACAGAACAAAACAGCAAAATTCCCAATCTTCAAGTAAGGCTTATAATCAAATACGTTGGAAAACCATTTCCGATTGAATAAAGACGAAAGTAGTTGACCTTGTATCAGAAATAAGGGAGAGGGAGTTGGCAGTTAGCTCAGTTGGTAACAGTGTGGTGTTGTAACACCAAGGTCAAGGGTTCGGATCCCTGTATAAGCCATTGCCAAAAAGAAAACCCCAAAAACAAAAAACAAAAAACATAAAGATAAGAAGAAAAAAAAAACCATCGATCATTCAATAACCTCTCACTTTCCCCCTCACATATCTTGAAATATCAAGTTACTGATATACAAAAGGGCAAGTAGCTCCAAATACCCTGTTGTTGAAAATATTACCTCGTTTTTGAAGAAAAATGTTAAGAGTGAAATGCAGGTGTGGAGTGCATGGTGCTCTCTGTACAATTTTATTTTTTCTGCATGTTTAAAATTTTTCATAATAAAATACTGGAAATAAAAGCTCATGCCTAGTTAAAGAATAGTTCATCTGTAAAATCCTGATGAATAAATTGGGGGTTGACATTGGGTTAAATGAATTGTGTAAAACTAATTCACTTGGAGATATAATAGAGAAAAAAAATCAATACTTTACCACAAGGCAGTCTGATCTCAGACTCCAGAGACCTGGGTTCCTACCTCGACCTTCACTTTTAACTAACAGGGTGACTTTGGGAAACAGTGGTGCCAGTGATGCTGACAATGACTGTGGACATGGTGGGGTTGATAATGATACAGTATCAGGCATTTTATCCAGCACTTTATATATGTGTTCTCTCAAAATTCCTGTATTTCCCTCCATTTTACAGACGAGAAAACTGAGGCTCAGAGAGTTGAACTAATTTGCCTGATATCTCACAGCAGAAAGCTGATAGGAGTGATTGAGTGTTTTTTTGTATTGTTTTGTTTTTAAACCTCCATCTCTACTCAGGCACCTCTGATTGCGATCTGTTCCGTTTCAATCTGCCATAAATCTTAAATTTCTGGCTCTAGCAAACAGTCGAGCAGGCACATTTATATGGGTACAGGAACCAACCTGGATAATTTTCCCAATAAACCAAGGTACTGGCTGGAGTTTCATCTTTTTGATGTTCTCAGTCAGCACTTCCATAAAAACTTTGTAGTCTGGCTTTGGAAGAACAACTCCAGGAAACAAATCTGATATAATTCCCTGTTAAGAAGAATTCAAGAGAAGGTGGAAAGGATGAAGGATTAGACATGTGAGCTCAATATTCTCCTAAAATGAGATCTATAGACAGCAGAAATCTTTGAAAAATTCCAAACCTCACTTTTCCTGCATCAAAACTCACCCCAAATTATAGATGTCAACACTATCCGTAAAATACAATTTCCCTCCCAAATAATCTAAAAAGTCAGCAAATATTTACTGAGTTGGTATTATCTTCCAGTAGTTGTACTAGGAATGAATGAGATAGTCATGGTTTCTGTTTTTGTGGAGCTCACAGCCTGGTAAGGAAAATAGGCTTCAAATTAATTACTAAAGGAAACTAATTAAATTGGATAAAAACACCTGTCCAAACATAACAGCAAATATTATCCTATCAATAAACCACTTTTATTAAGATCGGGACTTAGGGATGTTTGCTATCACCACTATGATCTAACATTTGGGAAGGGGATATCAGGGAACAGGTTGCTGGTTGGAGAAGAGAGAGGTGCCAGGAGATGGAAGAGGATGTGTAGAAGGTGCCAGAGAAAACATTCCACCTTTAGAAGTGGAGCCTCGGTCCTTGGCCAAGGTCCCAAACCACTGCATACCTCAAAAAGAGGGACATCCTGAGCTAAGAACTTGGCCAGGTTGACATCAAGCAAGGCCCGGAGCAGCAAGACACTTTCATCCTCCTCTGGATACTTGAGCTTCAGGTTGCCTGCAGCAGTGAGCACAGACTTGACAGCGCGCATGCCATAGTCATAGTGATGCTGGGACGACAGTTGTTCTGAGCACAGGCGGTAGGTCGCGACAATCTTCTGGGCAAGACTGGGAGGGCAAAGACATGTCTTCAGACCCCCAGGGAGGACCACATCCTGCTCAGCAGACATCCCCAACATCCCTGTTCCCTGCCCCTTCAGAAACCAGGCTTGCCTATGAACGTGATGGAGAAGCCTTATCATTTGAAGGTCTTTTACTAATGTGACCCTGATGCTCTTTCAAAGTTAGGCTGAAAAAAAGCAAGCACATACATATGTATAACATGTACTGCATATGAAACAATATGTTATATGCTCTCCTGTGTATGTATGAATGTGCGGATACACACGCAAGTTAGGGAAATACACATCAAACTACTGACGGTGATTCCTGGACAGTGGCACTAAGGGTTACTGAAGGGAAACTCACCTTCACTTCTGTAAATTATAATGTTTTTCAGTGTCCGTTTTATTTCTTTAATTAAAAAAGAAATCCAAAATTTAATACAGTTGACTCTCCATATCCGCGGGTTTCACATCCATGGTTTCAATCAACCATGGGTCAAAAATATTAAAAAAACAAAAACACAATACAGCAATAAAAATAATGCAAATAAAAAAACCAATATAGTGTAGCAATTATTTACACAGCATTTACACTATATTAGGTATTATA